CCAAAAGTCGACTCATTTTTGATATTTTCTATTTGAGCGTTTGTGATTTTTAACAGATTTAGATGAAACTGTTTCCGATCGTAGAATATTGATTATGAATCAGCTGATATTAGCTCATTGATGATATATCGGTATCAGCGAATACGGCGATACATTTTATAGTTTGTCCATCAGAGAGTTAATTTAACGTTGTGGTTGTTTCTAACCTCTCGATCGTCCCGATATTGATATTATATTGATAACGGAGCTCAAATGAAGCTCCAGTAGTGAAGCTCCGGTACTGAAGCTTCGGTACTGAAGCTCCGGTACTGAAGCTTCGGTAGTGAAGCTCCGGTACTGAAGCTCCGGTAGTGAAGCTCCGGTACTGAAGCTCCGGTAAGTCGTACTGAAGCTTCGGTACTGAAGCTCCGGTACTGAAGCTCCGGTAGAAGCTTAGTGAAGCTTCGGGGAAGTGAAGCTTCGGTAGTGAAGCTTCGGTACTGAAGCTCCGGTAGTGAAGCTCCGGTAGTGAAGCTTCGGTACTGAAGCTCCGGTAGTGAAGCTTCGGTAGTGAAGCTCCGGTACTGAAGCTCCGGTACTGAAGCTCCGGTAGTGAAGCTCCAGTAGTTCTCCGTCGGCCTCGTTGCTCCCCTGAAACTTTCCTCTGATTAACTCGCCTCGAGTCGGAGCCGCCGCGCTCAGAAGGCGCAGGTGTGTTTTCGGAGGCCGGTGGAGTCTAAACTCGCCCGCAGGGAGCGCTCCATTGTTCTGGCTCCAGTATCAAAGTGCTCACCGAAGTCTCAGCGAGACTCGTTTAGAAGGTATCGAGCTCGTCTCCGTGCCAGGTGATGTTGTCGTCCCTGGCGACCAAACAAAAGGTGGGCTCGCATCTCGCCTGGCTGAGCTTCAGTTTCCCTCCGCCGAGGCTCCGAGTGTGTGTGTGTGTGTGTGTGTGTGGACTGAACACCGCCACGCATTGTTCACCTCCTCTGACTGTTCCCCTGTCCATCCTCCTCCTCCTCCACTAACCCCACTAACATCCTCCATGCATTCATGCATTCATGCTCAGGGCCGAATCCATTAACATCAGCTGGAGAAAAACAAGGAGAAGGAGGCGAGAGAGAGAGAGAGAGAGAGAGAGAGAGAGAGAGAGAAAGAGAGAGACGGAGAGAGGGAGAGAGAGAGACGGAGAGAGGGGAGAGAGAGAGAGAGAGAGAGAGAGAGAGAGAGAGAGAGGGAGAGAGAGAGGCAGCGATCCAGCACAGCCTGATGGTTGTTGGCACGAAGCAATAAATCACATTTACATTCCCCGTTTCATTTTACAGATCCATCCTCAGACGCTCCAATCATACAGACTCACTGTGGTCCATAAGCTCTGTGAGCGCCAGAGTTTCAACCAGTCCGCACAGAGCTGCACTTAGCTTAGCTTAGCATAAAGAGTGGAAGCAGGGGGAAACAGCTAGCCTGGCTCATATTCTGGTTCTCTCTGAAGAAGATATCCGACTGTAGAGACGGTTTATCATCATTCATTTACGATATTATACTAAAAATCCCAATAAATGTTTCCTTAAGAACTTTTGTTTCTGTTTAAAGTTAAAATATTTATATTATCACGTCGATTTGGCCTAAAAGTCTTATTTTCATTTCAATACGTTTCTAATAAAAGTTTAAATTTAATTATTTCAGTGTTTTAAAAAATGTGCATGATGTCACTGTTTCTATATTAAAAATATATAAAGCTAAACAACAATTTGTCCAAAACATTTCAACTCTTGGATCAGGTGAGATTTTTCATGATCAAGTGGAGTCAAGGTGCGGGTAGCTTAGCTTAGCATAAAGACTGGACCATTTTTAAAGGGAGTCTGGTGACTTTATCTAAGTTTAGTTTACTGTAGTTGTAACGTGAAATGTTCACCTTCATTAAAAGGTTGTTTTCTTCCATAAATATACTGTTAATCTGTTGAAACCTAACTTTTCTTTATTCCTCCATAACGTCGCCGCAAATTAGCAACGATACTACAAATACTCAAACAGAAACCTCCACTCTCTCAGACTTTGAGTCTGTCCCGATGTCCATTTGTGCTTGAGAGCTCCTGGAAGACATTTTGACCCTTTAATCCACATTTCTGCAGACTCTGGCTGAGGGAATTACCCACAGTTCATAGCGTTGTGACGTTAGGCTTCCAGGGGGGTTAAATAAACGTTGGAGGAGCAACAAGAAAAGAGAAGTTTACAGAAGTTTAACACTTTCACTCTTCTCTCTTTTTTTACCGTTTATTTAACTCTTCAGGGCTTCCTGAGAGCTGATAAGTTAATGAGATGAATGTCGTATTAAAAACATCTTAAAATAATTTACGTCTCATGTTACAATGTGAAACTGATCACTGCCGCCGATTATAAACGTATTATTCAAAACCTAAATTACAAGACTGAGGCAAATTAAATAATACAGTAAAATGAAATTAAACTCAATAAATAAAGATGAATTCTTATAATAAATATATTTGTTTCAATAAGTTCTGTCTCAGTCGTAGTTGGTGTTCAGGCTTTAGGCTGGAGGCCCTCGTCTCCTAGCAACGCACGCCGCTAGGCAACAGCCACAGTCGCTGAGGACGCACATCGCTAGGACGTAAGGCGTGGTTGAGACGAGAGTTAAGTCCGCTCTACAGACCAGTTGGTGCAGCCCGCCGCAGGAGTCGCTAAGCTAAGCTAAGCTAAGCTAAGCTAACCAACCACATCCTGACCCCAGCTCTGTGCTGAACCTCTCGCTGTCAGACAGGAAGAGAATATTTCAGACAATGTTCCTTTAATCAGTTTTATAACCACACACACACACAAACACAGTGACACACACACACAGTGACACACAGTGACACACACACACACACACACACACACACACACACACACACACCACCCCCCCTGTACAGTGTGGATGAAGCCGCTGCTGCTCTCAGGTTGGATCAGGTTGGTTTTTCACAATAAAAGTCCTTCAAGTTATGGATCAACTTTGCCAGCTGTTTGTGTTCGGAGCATGTTTCCAGATCGGCCCGCCCCCCCCCTCCCCTTCATCCTCCTGCATGACTCACCTCCATCCGATCACTCACCTCCTCTGTCCGTCCGCCTGCTCGTTACCTCCTCCTGTAGGACTCCCCCTCCCTCCCTCCTTCAATCCTCACCTCCTCCTCTTCCTCTCTCTTCCTCTGCTCCCATAGGCCCTTATTCATTCTCTCCTGTCCATATGGTTTCTGCAGTCAAACAGAAGAGCGCCTTCGCCCCTGTCGTGCGGCCACAGACCTCCCCGCCCCCCACCTGCACCACCACCAATGGCAGCAACCTCCAGGGTGAGCATCCCACCCCCACCCCCCCAGCACCCCCCCGTCCTCTGCTGTCCACCTGTCCCACCTGGACACACAGACAGACAGACATCTCTGTGATGATAATGATGTGTTTGTTAATCTGCTTTTAAACACTCGAAAGGTCAAAGTTGATCCATAACTTCTGGCACTGAAACCGTAAACTGCTGTTCGCACATCTTATCCAGTAACTCAGGTTCCTTAATGAGAATCCAACCGAAACACTTCCTGATCCAGTGAAACAACCTGCGGAGGAACAATGTCTGCACTCATAATAATATTAATATTAATAATAATAATAATATTAATATTAATAATAAACACTGGCTGGTTGTTTGTTTGCAAAAAGGTTTATGATATTTATTGTTTGTTCCTGTTTAACTGCTAAAATCCACAATATCATCTTTTTATTGTCAGTAAACAAAATCAAAAATATTTCCAATAAAAGTTAAATTAATAATAATAACAAATAATTCTCATAAATTTTAATTTCTAATGATTATAGTGCAGAAATCTGCCTTATTAGTTATTTATAGTGTGTGTTTACCCTGGATCAATAGATATAGATTCATATTCTGATTGAACATTTTATGTAGTTTTGAAAAGTTGACATGTTAAATTTTTCTTGATCTAGTGAAACAGGTTTAAACTGGAATAATAAGCACAAGTTGGTAAAATAAAAGATAGATTTTTATTGTCATTAATCCAAAGAAATCTGGTTCCTTCTTATTCCTGTTTAACTTCTAAAATATTCACATTATCACATCAGATTATTGTCATTTCAATAAAGTTAATACATTTTCATTTTTCATTATTGTGGTTCTTTAACAAACCTGCAACCTCACATTGAGCTCATTATAGAATATATATATATATATATATATATATATATATATATATATATATATTCTATATATAAAACTGAACCTTTCGGACTCAATAATTAACTAAAAGTTACCTGATAAGATGGCATTTGAGTCCGTCCGTCCTTCAGTAAACGTCTGTCTGATCGTCTCTCAGCCATGGCAGGTCTCATCGTCCCGCCCATGTGAGGAGGACACCGCCAGACTCCCGCCCCCTCCCCATGAACCCCCTCAGCGCTGATGGCCCCGCCCACCTGAAATACGCCAGCGATAAAATCCTTCCCATCATCCCCCAGAATCCATCACTGCACCAGGAGACTCTCCGTCGATTCATTCGCCGCCTGCGGGACGACAATGCACCGACGGCTGCGGCTGCCGCAGATGTTCAAACGGGAAGCGGACGTCTGCGGCGGCTCCACATGGAGGTCAAAGGTCAGCGGCGTGAAGAGCGGACTGTGGGTGGGAGGGAAGGCGAGTTATGAAACAGTCTGTGGAGACTAGAACAGGTCTCAGATCAGTTTGAACCACTGTGAGACAGGAAGGAGTTGTGTCCACCGGGAGCTTCTGCAACAACATCACCAACAAAGGGTTCGATGTGATTGGCCAATGATCCAATATTGATCAGTAGTCTTCCATATTTCAGCCATTTAGTACAAACAGCCAACCATACTCCTTCTGGAAAGTCACATGTTTTAATTTCTGCCTCTCCAGGTTTCTTTAGCTTTCAATTGTTTCCAAACTATATAAAATTAATAATCAGACTCTTGAAACTCACATCTGTTGTTTAATCAAAAACAATAACCTTTAAATCAATATTAGTTATTGTCAGAAACATTTTTGTTATTACAACACAGACTTTTAAAATCAGACTTTACTCAAATGGAGTTCTGAATGGGCCTAAAACTGAGACCAGAGCCTGACGCCTGGTTTAAAATATGTAAACCAGACACATCCAATCCTGTTATGTCTGTGTATACACAGAGCTAGCTTAAAATACTCTCGTAAAATAGATAAAAACACCAAAAGAATTGGGTTACTGGGACAGTTTTTTGCCTGATTCAGACACTGACTGATATAATATATAATATATATATAATATATGAAAAAAAGTCTCTGCAGATTAACTTTCATGACAAATTCAGATTAATTATCAGGATAGCCGGAAAACCAGTAACGTTACCATGTGGTTGTAAATGGTCCAAAATTTAAAGTTACAGTTCCAGAAAATCTGGTTTAAAACTTTATTTATAACAATATTTGGTTAAAAACCAGCTACAATGTGCAGTAATATTATATTAATTAAATATTGGCTGAAGGTCACTGATTGGTTCTCAGAAGCTCTCGGTGGACACTGAACCTGAGTCGGACGGAGTCCAAAAACCAGGAAAAAATCTTCAAACCTTTTGTTCAAATCCGGAAACCGTTTGACGTTTTTTCCAGATTTGACGGGTTTTCAATCACAAATCCCCAAAAATCCCCCCCAGAGGACCAGACTCCTGATCAATATCTTCTAGCGTTTTCCTTTCTGTACGATAGCTTTTAACAATGTTTGTCTCATATTCGGAGGAAAATGCAGTAATTTTCTAAGCTAACGGAAGAACGAACAAACGTCCTGTTACGCTAATGTTTGTCTGAATAAAGTCGAGGCAGCCCGAGTTATTATTTTTGTTTTTTTTTTGTTACATTTTCTGTTAATTTTTATCTGATTTTTAAAAACTCCAGTACAATAGTTCTGTTTCGCAGGTGTGTCGAGTGGTAGATTTTAACCAGAAAAAGCTTGCAGCAGTTTTAATCACATTTAGGTAACAGATTTTTCTTGTTATTCTTCTGATTGTGCTTATTTTATATGTATTTATAAAGTATGTTTTGGGGAGTTCCTTTTGTGATTTAGGCCTGAATGATAGTCTCAAATATATATGTAAACACATTTGATGTCTTAATACCTTTTAGATATTGTAAAAAGAGTGAACAAGTGAGAGGAATTAACCCTTTTGTAAAAACAAAAAACGTCACAACATGGTCACCCTGTTTTTGAAAGCAGGACGTTAAAAAAAAACGCTTTCATCACTTTTGTATAAAAATGCTTTTCCGATACGATATTTAACTTTTTGTAAACAGCATCATTTGTGTTTCCCCTGGTTCTTCTCGTCCTTTGTGTATTATTGTGAAATGTATAATCATGGTTATTTCTTAATGCACTATTTTTGTTGGGGCACTTAATGAAGAGCAATGCATCTTAGCAAAAAAGATTAAAAAAAGCTAAAAGTTTAACAAAAAAAGATGAAAGCTAGAACGATATGCACCGATATGTTTTTCTGCCGTTCTGAAACGGCAAAAAAATCCTTGTCATGTGAAATTTTTATATTTCAGAAGCTTATAACGTCATAATATTCCTCCACTCTTACTTTTGGACCAAGCGTATTTCTTGGTTTCGGTGTTTAGAAGACAATATTTTATCCATCTTAATATTAGACCCGATCCTAGTCTTTGTGTTTCTTGGTGAGAATGATTGTACGATTTAAAAACAGGAAGCAGATTTTAAAACCACTCCGGAAATTAGTTTTTTTTTTGGTCGTTTATTTTATTTTGGTCACCGATCTCAAGGAAACTTCCATCGATGTTGGTGTTGTTGTTGATGGTGCTGTTCTCGTCGTCGCACACAATCTGGATCATTTACTTATGCAACTGTGTTCCTGTTCTGTATTGCAAGCTCGTCTTCCACGCCGCCGCTGTGGAAAAGTTTGGAAATTAAAAAGAACTTAAAGTCGCGTTTCGATGCCTTACGATCGACCTTCAACACAACGTCTTCTCTTCCTTTCAGTTTGTACATCGTCTGTTTGACTCCACAATTCATTTTGCGCCGGACGTTTTTGTCCCTCAGGTTCCCTCAAATAAACATAATGTTAGCATCATCAGCACTTAGCCTTTCAAATAGCAACACCTGTTTGTTTGAGTGAAAACCTGTAAAGATTTCAGATTTAGGAGTAAAAAATAAAGATACTACAACACAGTCGGGAAAAATTTGTGACGTTATCTCGTAATTATACACCACATTGTTATAATTTAGCATCTCATAATAAGAAATTAGAATTACATCATTTTATAATACGTTTGTTAACCAAATTACATAAAAAATATATAAAAGATTTTGTGACAAGAAAACTCAAAACAAGATCGTTTTCTGAGAATTAAGAGAAAACTATCCAACAATCTGCATCACTAATAATCATCAAGAAATAATCTCACAAATCTTATAAAATCTGTATCATGAAATTGTGAGAAATTAGCTCATATTTACGTAACCCGTACCTCACCGTCTAATAGCTCACAATTATCTCACAATTCTGACATTAACATGTTTTGTATCTCAGAATTACGAGGAAACGATCTCACAATTAAACATTTTCAAGAAAATTTGTTTAAATTTCCAAATCTCTTCTAACATTATGACGGTCTATAGAGTCTGATCTTAAAAGTTTCAGATATCATCATTTATATTATAATATGATTTTACATCGAAGGACTGATTTTGTGCTTAAACACAAACATCTTTCATCCATTTAATTCCTGAACAATAAAACATCTCTACATTTATTTTGAAGAACAAATCCAAGGTGAGGGCAGGAATCTAAAGCTCAAACTTTTGACTTTATGCAAATCCAGCAGGACAGAAACCTTCGGTCACTGCACAGCGTCACCAGACGCCATCGTCCTGCAGAGCGAACAGTCTCACCTCATACAGTTCGACTCCCTCGTCTCCGTTTCAACAGCTTGCTGATTTTATTTCCTTTTTTTGGTCACAGTTGTAGAAAGTTTGCTTCTCACCGTCCTGGTTTTCAGCCGAGGTTTTAAAAACTGCAAAGTATACTTTTTTCGATGTTTTACTTCAATGTGAAAGAGGGCAGAGGTACTGCATCTTTGTGAAATATGAAATACAGTATATCATCAAAGTATATCAAAGCACAATGTTTAATTAATGTCTTTAGAATACGAACGGGGGCGACTCCCCCGGCTCTTTTCTTTTCCTGTCTCTGGCCATGCTGTAAATAGATGCATGTTTTTTGGGTTTTTTTGTTTGTTTTTTCCTGTGATCCAGTGCTTTTTGTACAGAAACAGTCTAATAAAGATTACATTTGGCTTGAACTCTGAGCTCGTCTCATCATCTGTGGCGACAAATATAAAGTTAGTCTGAATGGATTTGGAGTGAATGTGACACCGAATTTAAACCTCTCGTTGACCATCAGAGCGAAGATGTTTCTGTATAGTTATTGATAATGTCGGATTCCCTTGAAATCAATGAGACAAGGAGGCAGAAAAACAGAATCAGCTCACGATGAAGTCAGATATAATACATAAAACTAATCATTCACCATGAATGAACGTGAGATAATAATAATGAATGAATTATTGAATTCAATAATGAAATCTATCAATAAATGAGTTCCCTACTGGATTTAAGTTAATAATAATTTACATTACATTTTAATGAACTTACAGCTGCTACAACCAGCCGATCAAACACAATCAATGGATGAATCAATGGATTACAGCAGACGTTGAGCTCTAGATGAGTAAACTCTCACAGCTAACGAGCTAGCTGAACTATTAACCATCAGAGTCAATTGCATCAAAACCAGAAGGAAATATTAAAGAGCCTCATGCTTGATCTGATCGACTGCCTGAGTGACTTGACGAGAGGTAAAACATAAAGTTCAGAATATTTTAACTCTAATGTGCGTTTCACAAGTACGAGATTCACATCCAACGTACCTCTGAAAATTACAAGACAAGCAAACAAGATCATAATTACAGAAAACGTACATTTACAAGATCAATATTTCATCTTTATCACAAATCTGAATTAAAATTTAATGTTTACAAAATATGTTTCTCAGTTTTTAGACGTGTTTATAAGAAAACTATCCCATAATTTTAAATCATGGACCTTTAAAGATACAGATCTGATCATTATGATTAACACATGAAACCCAACACGTTGTTTGAGAAACAACGGTTTTATTGGCAACTTGTTTCTGGTGTCAGAGAAGTTAAATAGAGAAATGTTCTCGCATGAGATCCAATGTGTCAATGAGCCGAAACAAGGCTGTTTTTCAGAATAAAAGTTGTCAAATAAACATACTGGAGTCTCCAAACTGGGAAACAGTCCAGCAGTGAACTGTATTGAAGGATGTGACTCTGGAAGTTTTCAAGGTTTTTGGGCGGAGAATATTTCTGAAAACTACCAAACTTTTCCAACACGGTTCATCCAGCAGAAATATTCTCCCAGCGAGCTCCAAAGATTACAGTTAGTGATGAAACTGTTGGCGGCGGACGGACAGGACGGAGCTCTGATTGACGTTTGGAGTCGAGCTGATGTGAATCAATCAGCGCCTCTCTGAGCCAAAGCTACAATCCTTCAGTCGGAGTGCCGCAGACGGTAAAAACATCACAGAGGGAAGGTCCGTACGGAGCAGGTGATCCAGGAGGGTTCAGATGTTGACAGTCAGGAATCCTTCTGTAAATCCACAATCCTGAACCTTCAGAGGGACTTTACTGATGGACTGAGATCCTTAAACTTTATTATTTGTGCACTCAATATTTGGAATCAATTATTACACTTCATCAGCATCCACGAAGACCTGCAGGACCTCAACGTTTTTATAGTGTTATATAGTGTTATGTAGAGTTATAAAGTATATACAGGTTACAGTATATCTCAGTCTGAAGGCTCTGGAGGAGCTCGTACGTTTTCAGCCCCACAACAGTAATAATTACTATCCGTCTATCACAGGCTTCAACCAATCAGATCAATGAACTATATAACGTAGTCAAACTCTTACTGAAGTCTGTCAGAAGAAGAAAAAACTCTTAATCTTTTCGGTCGAGAATAAACGTTAAGTGACGTTCTTCGAATAACTTAGAATATCAATCTGTGTCAGCGGCAAAAACAACTGTTAGTGGGCGCACTTTGTCCCCAAGGAAAGACGATTTTATTGTTTCTGTCCAGGTTGATGAAGTTATGATGTTAAAATGATCTGCAAGGTAAAATTGGTGTTTTTTCTATGGACTCTGGTGACTTCATAGACAAACAAACTTTCAATAAAACTGTTGTAAACACGCTTTCTGATGAAAACTGCGACTCATTCCTGTTCGAGTCTCAGATATGAAACTACTAACCCACAACCATGAACAGACCTGTACAAACACAAACCAGGTCTCTCTGCAGACCTCGTGGTCCGGTACGTTCCTTGATGCTGAGAGAGAAGGAGTGATAAGTGCTTTTTAAAGTCTGAAGGTCAGCGGTGGTCTTTATCAGACCTGCAGTCCTGAGCAGGAAGTCTGGTTTTCATCGCAGAGGACCAGAACAGGCCGGTATCAGGTCTGCAGCGGGGAGGAGGGGGTTGGGGGTTTGGCAGCGTCGGGCCTGCTGAGACTCCGCTAAAGGCACAATTAACTTTCACTCCACCGTCAGCACCAACCTTGATGAGTTGTGAAGTCAGGTTCTTGACTGCACAGCGCTCATTAGCGCAGGCCGACGCCCGAGGCGAAGAAACCCTCCAACCGACCCTCCCTGAGTCTGCACATCCTCGGCCAACGCTGCACGCCGCGGCTGCCAGAGCGAGCTGCACGCCAACCGGCTCGTGTTCACAGAGAGGAGAGAGAGGCTGTTAACGGATTGGACACAGTGTGATGGATACGGAAGCTCAGAAACACTCGATCAGGACTTCTTCTGGACCGACTGAGAGCGAGAAGATGCTGATTGGTTGAACAGGTCGATCAATAAGAGAATCAGAAAAATTAGAATTATGATGACATTTTAAAATTTGAAAGTAAAGATTTATTGAGCAGTTTGACGCCATGGTTACGTCACTGCAGCAGAAACAGGTTGAGAGCAGTTTAGCTAACGAGGTCTGTGATTAAAATAAGAGTTTGAGAAATAACATACATCCGTGAATACCACCTGTGAACGTTGAGGTAGACACTTCTGCTCACCGAGCCACTAACTTCCTGTTAGCCATCTGCTAACTTCCTGTTAGCCCTCTGCTAACTTCCTGTTAGCCCTTCACTACCTTGACTGGAGATAAAATGATTTCATTGTTCAGCTCTTTGTTAAATGGTTCAGGCACTACATCAAATTGGTTTCCAAGCGTGGCTTTTCTCTGGCTAATGCTAAAGCTAATGCTAGGTCTATCTGTAAATGAAAACACAAACTGGACTTTTTCTCTCCAGCTGGATGAAATTGAAATAATAATATATTGAGGAAACAAAGAACATCGAGTGCTCAGATTAGTGACTTTAGGAAATGATTCATTAATAGTTTTTCCTCTCGGGTTCGGAGGGAGGAGGTCGCTGGATTTGCTGACAGCAGCTGTTGACGGGAGGGGAGGAGGCCAAAAAGAGCCACCGATGTTTTGAAATAGCTGAAATATTTTTTAATCAGCCGGAGGAAGAGGTGTTACAGAGTCAGCGCAGGTGTGTTTGGTTTGGGCGGCAGTGACATTATGTCACCACTGCTCGCCATACATCCGCGCTCTTAAAGAATTAGACCGTTTCCTGTGAGCTGATGATGTCATTGTGATACTACAGCGGGTTCAGGGTCTCTGTGTGTTATTATAAAGCTCAGCACTGAAAGTCATTTCACACAGGAAAAAGCCCCGGGCCCGGCCCTCGCGATGACACCGGAGCCCTCGCCAACTGGGCTCCGAGCTGGAGGAGGTATGTAAATCACTCCGTCCAAACGGTCCGCGCTCGCCAGCCTCGTTTCCTGGGAAGGACGTGGTTCTGGACGAGGACTGGAAATCTGATGTGGGCCCATCGAAACCATGTGTTGCTCAACATCCACTCAGTCAGCACAGAGAGGATGTTTCAGAGGGAGGGTCAGTGGTTTCCTCATAGAAACCATATCTGCACAGTTCAGCAGGACTCTGTAGAGTCAGGAGCATTAAAGACCTGGTTCAGGTACAGTCAGGAGCATTAAAGACCTGGTTCAGGTACAGTCAGGAGCATTAAAGACCTGGTTCAGGTACAGTCAGGAGCATTAAAGACCTGGTTCAGGTACAGTCAGGAGCATTAAAGACCTGGTTCAGGTACAGTCAGGAGCATTAAAGACCTGGTTCAGGTACAGTCAGGAGCATTAAAGACCTGGTTCAGGTAGAGTCAGGAGCATTAAAGACCTGGTTCAGGTAGAGTCAGGAGCATTAAAGACCTGGTTCAGGTACAGTCAGGAGCATTAAAGACCTGGTTCAGGTAGAGTCAGGAGCCTCAAAGACCTGGTTCAGGTAGAGTCAGGAGCATTAAAGACCTGGTTCAGGTACAGTGAGGAGCATTAAAGACCTGGTTCAGGTATATTCAGGAGCATTAAAGACCTGGTTCAGGTAGAGTCAGGAGCCTTAAAGACCTGGTTCAAGCAGAGTCAGAAGCATTAAAGACCTGGTTCAGGTAGAGTCAGGAGCATTAAAGACCTGATTCAGGTAGAGTCAGGAGCATGAAAGACCTGGTTCAGGTAGAGTCAGGAGCATTAAAGACCTAGTTCAGGTAGAGTCAGGAGCCTCAAAGACCTGGTTCAGGTAGAGTCAGGAGCATTAAAGACCTGGTTCAGGTAGAGTCAGGAGCATTAAAGACCTGGTTCAGGTAGAGTCAGGAGCATTAAAGACCTAGGTTCAGGTAGAGTCAGGAGCCTCAAAGACCTGGTTCAGGTACAGTCAGGAGCATGAAAGACCTGGTTCAGGTAGAGTCAGGAGCATTAAAGACCTGGTTCAGGTACAGTCAGGAGCATTAAAGACCTGGTTCAGGTAGAGTCAGGAGCCTCAAAGACCTGGTTCAGGTAGAGTCAGGAGCATTAAAGACCTGGTTCAGGTTCGGAGACTTTTCTCAAAAACATTTAAAAGTAAAAAAAATATATAATAATAAATAAAATGATAAGAATAAAATCAATGACAGCTGTAATTTTGTAGGGGGCGCTATCGAGCTATTTTGTCACACGCGCATAAGACTGATATCAGGAGGGAATCTTTGCTGTTTCATGAGATAAACTGTTGTTGTGAGTATAACAGTAGGTTTCCAGTAGGGGGCGCTGTAGGACTCATATCAGACTTTTAGTGGAGATACGCTGAAGTTACAGCAACTTCCTGTTTCCTGGCGCC